AATATAGAATATTTGTCTTTCTCTGTATGACTTATTTCACTAAGCATAATACCCTTTAGGTCAATCCATGTTGTTATAAATGGCAAAATTTCATTCCTTTAATGGATGAGTAATATTTCACAGTGTGTGTGTGTATGTGTATGTATGTATGTGTGTGTGTGTGTGTGTATATATATATATATATATATATATATATTACATTTTCTTTTATCCACTCATCTTTTAATGGGCACTTAGGTTGCTTTTATATTTTAGATATTGTAAATAATGCTGCTATGAATATTGGGATGCATGTATCTTTTTGGTATTAAATCTTTAACCTTTTAAAACTAAAGTATAGTTAATTTATAATGTTAGTTTCAGGTGTACAGGAAAGTGATTCAGTTATATATGTGTGTGTGTGTGTATTATATTCTTTTTCAGATTCTTTTCCATTATAGATTATTGCAAGATAGTGACTATAGTTCCCTTGCTATACAGCAAGTCCTTGTTATCTACTTTATATATAGTAGTGTGTATATGTTAATCTCAAATTCCTAATTTATTCCTTCCCCAACCCCCTGCTTTCCCCTTTAGTAATCATACCTGTGAGTCTATTTCTGCCTTGTAAGAAAGTTCATTTATATCATTTTTTAAGATTCCACATATAGGTGATAACATATGCTTTCATACAAAAAGAATAAAATCTTGCCATTTGTGACAACATGGATGGACCTCAAGGGCATTAACACTAAATTAAATAAGTCAGATGGAGAAAGACAAACACTGTGTGATCTCTCTGAGGTGTGGAATCATAAAATAAATAAATCAACAGAGAACAGATTAGTAGTTGCCAGAGGTGGGACACAGGGGTGGGGAGCAGTATGAGAAATGGGTTAGGGAGGTCAAAAAAAGGGGGGGAGGGTGAAAAAGGAAGAAAAAATTTATAGGAAATTATGTGGCTTAATCTAAGCAATTAATATGTTCCAGAAAAGATTAGTGGCAATTAGATTTCTACAAATAAAATTATATCTCTACAAATAAAATTATATCTTAAATTAAGTGAAATTTATCATTGTGGGTTGAACTCATTATAACTCAAATAACTGTTATGGGATGTGTAGGAAGCAGAATAATCCTGCCTCCCCCCACCAAAAAAATATGCAGACAGAGACTCTCTGATCACATATCGGATTGGCACAGATCCAAAAGCACATTTGTTGGAAGCCTGAAAGAAAAGAGGAGGAAACCTATGTTGTTACAACTCAATGAAGGATAATTAGGTGTTTCCTTAGTTACATTTTTAAATTGTCTGTGGTTGGTATAAAGATATAAAACTTGACTTTCAAATACAGTGATAATTTCTTCTTTTCCTATCCTCCTATCTTTAATTTCACAGTCCCACTGGATCAGAACCACCAGTGTATTATTGATTGTATCAAATATCCTTGGTTTTATGTCATTATTCCTGCCTGACTTAACACAGAGTGATTCTAAAGTTTCTACATTTTGGATAATATTTGTTGAAGGTTTTGTTATAGATATGCTTTATGCTTTACAAAATATATTCACTTTCTACTGCTGTGTAAAAAAAAATCAGAAACAATGGCTTGAAACAACACCCATTTATTAGCTCACAGTTCTGTAGATCAGAAGTTTTAGCATGGTGTGGTTGGATATTCTGCTCCTGGTGTCAAAGGCTAAAGTCAAGGGATCAGCCAAGGTGAGTTCTCAGCTGGAAGTTCTAAGGAAGGATCTATTTCCAAGCTCGTTCAGCTTATTGGAAGAATTCAGCTTTTTTTTTGTGGATATAGTACTAAAGTTGCTATTTCCCTGCTGGCTGTCAGCTGAGAGCTACTGTCAGGTTTAAGAGGCTGTTCACATTACTTGTCATGTGCCTCCCCCAGCCCTTCTCTATCCCCAAAGCCAGAAAGGAAAATATCTCCCTTATGTTGAATCCATCTCATGCTTTGAATCTCTCTAATTGTTCTCTGACCTCTGGACCCAGATTAAAAGGGCTCATGTGATTATATCAGTCTTACTTGGATAATTTCCCTATTTTAAGATCAGCTGATTAGGGACCATAATTAGATCTGCAAAATCCTTTCAAGCAGCACCTCACTTAGTGCTTGCTTAAATAACTGGAGGAAGGTGTATGTACACCAGGGCCCAGAATCTTGGGGGCAGTCTTAGAATTCTGCCTACTACAGTTCACCCTCTGGTCCCAAAAGATCCATGTTCATCCCATATGCAAATCATATTCACCCCATCCCGATGTTCATAAAAATCTCATCTCATTACAGTATCAAGTCTAACATCTCATCAAAATCTCATTAGCTCAAATTTCCAAAATCTCATCATCCAAATAATTTAAAACAGGTGTGGATGAGGCATCTAAAAGTAATCCACCCTGGGCACAGTATCTCTTTATCTGTGGACTTAATGAAACTAAATAAGTTACATGCCCTCAGTGGTCCCACCATACAATGGTAGGACAGGCACAGGAAAACTGATACAGAAATTCAAGTTCCAAAAGGGGAAGAATGGAGAGTAAAAAGGAATCATTGATCTGCAAGACTTTTGAAATTCAGCTAGATAAATGTTGGATTTTTCTTGAGGCCTGGGGATA